GCGGGGGACAACACCAGTGACACAGTGTGGGAATTGCACCTGATCTTACCCCGCCACACTGAGTCAATGTCTTTGTCTACTTACAGACTAAATGCATTCTGACAAAGAATGCTCTTCTGGATAACACCTGCTGAATTACTGATGTTCATAAAAGTACAGAATCAGAATTCTGGAACTAAGTGACACTTTGAGTGGTTCAGATCTAGGCCTCTAAGCTATATGCCCTTTCAAACTGGTGAATTCAATACTTCTGGAATGCCCAGGATAGCTTTAAATCAATCCAGGAAACAATGAAAAAGCAAATACAGCCAACTCTCAATGATAATGGGAGGTAGGATGGATAAGTAAAACCGGAAACTCGAAAAATCGTATTTTTTTAATTGATAGCTACAGTCCTCTCTTTTAGCAAATATTGGCTTCAATGCATTAAAAAAAAAGCTTTTCATTTCAGATAAAAAAAGACTTAATTTACTTCTTTTCTGTCTCCCTCCAAACACTCTAGAGGAGGTACTAATACGGACTCTAGAGTCTGACATATGTAGCTTAAAGATGGAAACATTTTTCCATCTAACTTTTCCAATTCACATATTTAAAACTATCCATATCACATTCTAGTATATGAGGCACAATATATAGTTTTATCTCTGACAACCTTATAACTTATTTTAAAATTGGCATTCTTTATCAAGGAATGACTACTTACCATAAAAAATATCAACACATGTCCAAATTTTCAGACTTTGTAAGTCTACAATTGGAACAACTTACTACGTTATATTTTCTAATGACATAATATTTCAATAACATCAAGTGCAGGGAATTGAAAAGGAGAGCTTTACCAGATCATAATTTGTGGTGGGGGCTAATATGCCTCGATAAACCGGGGATAAGGCTGCGGCTTATCAGAGTTGCCTGTCCTGATTCTGACAGATCTGGAGTGAAACACCATACTATGCTGCCTCCCTGCATTTCCAGTAATCATCCAAAAACCACAGGAGACCAGCAAAACACAGGTCTTTTTACAAGCTTCTTCATGTAAATGGCCTTAATGAACAATAACTCATATTTCATTTGAATAACAAATGAAGAATAATGAAGGCCCCCAAACCATGACATTCTTCAAATATGCAGTGAAGCATTATTGCTGATACAGAGCAAGAATGCCATAGAACAAGGTCAGAAAGGTGACATGTTCATGGTTGCTACATTATTTCCATGACAGATAGCAGGGTTTGACCAAGAACAAAGTAAAATCAAGAATATTTTACAATGAAAGGCATCAGGAAAAATTTGCAACACAGGAACAAAACCTCAATTTATGATAAAGGGATAACTTGTCTTCAAAGGAAAGAACATGAGATTCTAATGCTGATATCAAATATATAATCAGAACTTTAACTTCTTATAAATCATTCTGCTTTCATTATGAGAGTTTTCTATTCATTCAAAGTAAAGCATCTCTAAACAGTAAAAGAGGGACTAAATATGTAAATTTAAACAGCATACTGGGATTTACAATGAATATGTAATTTCCTACATTTGTGTGGCTAAGACACTTGCAAATACGCATGTGCAATGGGAGAAAGATAAGGCTTTTTCACCCCTGGAAAGAGTTACAGTCTTGGAAATCCACAGGGGCAGTTAGGCTCCTCCTTATCTGGGCTCCAGGAGTCAGAATGGGCTCGATGGCAGTGAGTTTTGTTTTGTTTTGTTGTTTTAATTTTATCAGGCAAACTTTGCAAAGATTTTGTTTTATTTTTTATTTCTGTGAATAAAAATTTTTAGCAAACAAAGAAATGACATACAACAAGTGAAAAGATATTTACTTTTAAAAATAGGATGCTAGTTTTACTACATATTTTCAAAATGATTACTTCTACTAGATATTCAACTATTTTAAATGCCAGGCATACTTTCCTAATTATAACATGGCAAAAGATATATTTTTTAAATTGTATGATTTATGTGCTATCTATTATTTCTATAACAAATTAAAATCATTTTTGAACATGAATTAAAATAATTTTCAGTTAACTTTTCTGATGAGAAAATAATGTACCACACAAGTAGTTATTATGAGTGTTACATAATACACCCTCAATCTCTGAGACAGAGTCTAGGAAATATTTAAACATTTCTGAAAATTTTTAATTTTCAAAATATATTAAAATAAAAATAAGAAAATAATCAGTGAAAAATTATCGCCATATTTTTATTACTTCATTACATTAGTTTAAAAAGAATTAAATCATTACTATAAAGTGGTTCAAATTTATAACAGAATCTTGAGTTTCTAAGTCAATACAGAATTTTCTTGTTAAAGGTATTACCATATATACTCGGGTACAAGCCGAGTTTTTCCAGTGCATTTTTAATGTAGTTTTTTGTGGTAAAACTAGGTGCCTCAGCTGATATTTGGGTCGGCTTATACTCAAGTATATACGGCATTTAAAAACATGTGTCAGAATCTAGAGCCACATGCTCTTTGGCTACTTCTGACAAAAGTAACATCGTTACTAAACAGAAACAACAATACAGGAAGAACACATTGCAGATAGAATTTAAT